ACCAGTCGCACTGAGCGTGTCCTCCGCCTCACCGGGTTCGGTGTGCCGATCTGCACCGCTTCGCAGCGCTCAGAGCGCGCGTAATTAAATGGCGCCCCGCTGGAGGTGCGCGCTTCGTCACAATGCAGCAAAACAGCGCACAGAGAGAAAGGATCCATTAGGGACGGCTTGGTATGTGGAGAGGTTGTCTGGTCACAACAACATCGTCGGCCATTTTGTCGCAGCCAGTGCGCGCTTCACTCCCGGTGGCGGCGACCGCGCCATCACGCCGCCGCGGCATCGCTGCAGGCCGCTACAGTGCAGTGTCGAGCTTGGTGTGGGTAGTGTAGTGCCCACAGTCGCCGCCCGCCACCGCGACGACACCGGCCCACGAATCTTATGTAATAATCACGGTCACGGTCGGCGGTACCACCGTCGCCGGCGGTAGGCGGTGAAGTCAGCTCTTCACGTATAGCAAGGGCGCGGCCGGCATTTTCTTAAGGGGGTGGGGACGGTACTCGGCTAAAACGAATTGCACTGGTGTTCTGCGTTTTATCATCCGCCGTCTAAAGGTAGACATCAAAAGTGCGGGTCAAGAGGGACGGGTGGGCCTGGGCGAACCTGGGACGAACAAACTTAAGTACACGCACCCAGCTGCCAAAATACACACACCCAGCTGCCAAAAATAGAAGGAAGTCTTCGGTGCAACATGGTCATGCCATCGACGCATCCCAATCCTGAATGAGCAGCCAACTAACAAACAATGTCGCTCTAGGCATTTTTGATAAAGCCTGGATTTATGACACAGCTTATGCCTGTGGGACGGAGACCAGTGCTACTTCGGCTGCTTGGTCACGCTTTGTCACATTCTCGCGAAGGGGAAATCGGTTAGCCTGAAGTAAGGCAAAGGAAGGCAATACATTAACATTCATACGAAACAAAACAACGTAGCAAATTTGAATGTAAGTGTACGCAGCATCGAAAAATCATTGCGCTGCTCAAGGTTCCATCTCCAGAGCAGTCATGCTGCCTGTCCTCCAAACCAGCTTAACGCAGAAACTCCACTGCTCCCCCTCCCCCAGCGGCTAGTCAAACCAGCTTAATGGAGAAACTCCACTGCTCCCCCTCCCTCCCCCTCCACCGCTGCAAGCCAAACCAGCCAAACGCAGAAACTCCACTGCTCCCCTCCCCCGCGGCAAGCCAAACCAGCTTAACGCAGAAACTCCACTGCTCCCCCTCCCTCCCCCTCCCCCGCTGCAAGCCAAACCAGCTTAACGCAGAAGCTCCACTGCTCCCCCTACCTCCCCCCGCGGCAAGCGCGGCCTCTATATCGTACTAGCACCCTTGGTATATTGGTACAATGAGACACGCGCAGTCAAGTTTACAACGTCTTAAAAATGGTCTTGCATGCGCGGCAAATCGACAAATAATGACGACCTTCCAAGTTTATACACAGAACAGTGCCGAGTTTATTTGGGGGTTATGCACACGAAAACGCCGCGGTGACCCGCTGTTGTGACCGCAGTGCACCCCGCAGCGCTGTGTCCGAGCATAAAGCGCAGAAAATTCAATGTTTCAGTTGTTTGCGATGAGGAGAAAAGCTACTATTACATTCCAGCTATCGGCTCGCTCTGAGTAAAACTGAACTTTGATTTTATATACACGATTTCTGAAACGTGTGCTTTCGGCAAGGCATTCGCAGTTATTGGCAGGGAACCTGTGCACATCACTGCGAAGTGCTACGGTGCCTTTGTCTGAGACCCCATCGGTTAAGACATGCGAGCCCGCCTACTGCTAGATGAGGCCCAGTTACAGAATGACTGCACATCGCAAGCTAAATTACTTCGGTCAGCCACTGGCTTGCTTCGCCAGCCGGTGTGACAAATTTGAAAGGTTGATAACTCAGGATAAGCGCCGGCGAGGGATGCGGGATTACTTCAAATGGCTGGTGACGCAATGTTTTGTCCCCACGGAGTCTAGGGCCGTCCAAAATGTCTCTGAATTTTGGTCATAAAGTTTTAAGATTGTTGTTTGCTATTTTGTATATAGGAGACCATGTTTCTGAGCGCAGCCCTAGAACGCTAGGCATGCACGTATGTGTATATATGGAACGCGTTCATTTTCTCCAGATATGATGGATCTTGCCATTTTGATGGCGTTTCTGAGTGAATCCTGTCATTTTGAGACTAAGTCTATCGGAAAACGTACGACAAAATGAATAGAAGTTGGCAGCTAAATACCATCGAAATTAAGCCCGACGCTTGATCCAACAGTTGGATGCGGCCAGCCGGTCTCCGGTGGGAAGCGAGCTGGTCGATATTGTAATCAATTGTTGGCAAGTGGCCAATGCAGGGCTTGTTTTACTTCTATGAAGGAGTATAATATATGACAGCATTCGAGCCGTGCTAAGAATGTGCTGCACAGGAATAATGAGTGTCACGAATTTAACAACCGAACGACAATGAAATAATCTCACGCGGAACGTAAAATTCGCACGTAAAAATCGATCGGAGCATACGTGGTTATATCGAAGCACTTCTGCGCCTCAGACGCCGAGTAAAATCGTCATCCTGTAGACCTCGGACTTATACATGAAATCCTTCAGCCAGACCCGTATACGCGAGCGGGTGAAACATCATGAGTGTCCGGAATGCCAGACACTTGCAAGCACACGGGGGGCTTTCGGCTGCAGAGTAAGATCATTCTGACTTAGAAAGACCCCAAGACCATGGTGGAGGACCCCAGAACGGCCAGTAGTGTTCCCAGTCGATTAGAATGTACGGCCCCGTCAATCACATAAGAGCCCCGATAAAGTGGGAAAACCCGGGACTAATGAGGACAGCACCTGCGCAATCGAGGGTGCCGCGGCAGGCCAACGGAGAGGCTTACGCCAACAGTGTAAAGCGCTCCGAGCAAATGAGAAAAGCCCAGTAGCAATGTGGAAGGCCCCTGAGCGATCAAGAGTGCCTTGGAAGGTGCACGTATAGGCTTCGTGACTCCATAGGGTCCTCCAAGCAAACGCCAAGTCAAGACCAATGAGAGGGGCCCCTGTGCGATCAAGAGCGCCTGGGCAGGGTAGCAGGCCCGGCCCCGGCAAGGGTATGGGGTGCTCCGCAACAGAGAGCAGATCCGAAGAGTCCTAGACTCATGAAGAGCGTCGAGTGCCTCGGCGGGCTGGCTTATGTGACCCAAAGTAGCAGCACAGGGCCCTCCAAAAAAGCGAAGAAACCCGAGACTGATGTTAGGGCGCCTGCACAGCCGAGAGTACCACGGCATATGGAGCCCGACAAAAGCGTTGAGCCATTCGAAAGCATAGGAAAAATGCGTGGAGGGTCCTGTTCAATCAGGAGGGCTCCGGCAGGTTGGCATACATGGCCCCGACAACAGCGTACGGCCCTCCGAGCAAATGCGAAGAAATCAAAGGCAACGCGGAAGGCTCTTTAGCGATCAGAAGGCCCTGTCAAGAGGACGCATAGAATCCCCGGTGACAGCGCAGTAGTCACTGAATAGCGTAACGAGCCCTAAAACCTCGCCTATCCACCACACTTTCAGTCAATGAGCAACAATGTTTATACAGCTATTTTTGTTTCCTTAAGGTGTTTTTTTACTTTCGCTTGGGGCTCTTCATGGTCGTCCGCAGGCCCAGCGTCTAAGTTTTGTTTTTGGTTCTGTTTACTTAAAAACCCTGGATTCGTTCGGTCAGTTGTGACGCCTTCGGAGTTTATGGGCTCCTTCAAACTCCAAGAAGGGGGGGGGGGGGAGGGCGTAGCCCCGTGCTCCCGTGTGGACCTGACTTTGATAAGAACTCTGAGGTCATAAATATGGACATTATTTGTGCGACCAAAGCAACCACTGAACGATGTATTCGTGTGCAGTCAGATCTCGGCGTCTCGGAAGCAGCCATGCACAAAGGTGAATGTCAATGTTGTGATATGGATATAGACATAAGGGAGCCAATATGGAAGACTGATATCGACGTACGGAACTAGTCTTTCGCCCTTTTGATGTGAGCGCGTTGCTGGTGCCCGAGCCCGCCGGCCTCTACTGGCGGAGCCCAGCGGCGCATCTGACCCACCGTCCGACCGACAGCTGGCGGCTCGAGCCCACCCGCTGAGTGACGCCGGAGTGCGGCGACCCACACTCCCACCGGCAGATGGGCTGCGCTGCAAACTCCCCGACCACCGCGAGATCTGCCACGGCCGATTGGCGCCTGGAGACAGACCATCGGCTGCGCCACGTCTAATGGCTCCCTGGAAAGAACAAGTTTTCCATCCCAGGCCCAATGAGGAACGCAGGCTCCATCCATGGGTTCCGCTTACACTGGAGATCTGAGAAACGCAGGCTCCATCATCCGTGGGTTCCGCTTACACTGGGGATCTTGAGTTATCAATAACGCGCGCTTTGAGCACCTTGTACAACGCTCCTCGATTCAGCAAAGGCAGTTCCAATCAGAGCCACAGCAGCTGGATCGCGTTGGGTCACCATGGGTACGCAGACGGGCCTCTCCATGCCAGTGGCCCTCACAGTGCGGCGGCCACACATGTTAGTCGCGGAATGAAATCCTCTCGCTGATGGTCTCGGCTTTCAATATTTGCGGCGATACTAATCACGGGACCAACCTTCGACAGCTAACACCGAGCCAAGGCTCATCTCCGGTTCCAGTTTCTACATCGGGAAGCTGTTGGGCAGAGCCGCAGGTTGGCATGCGTCGGTCTGTGCTATGTGGGCAGAGGTTGGCTAACGCTCCCCTCCAACAGGCACCTCAGTGCACCATGGCGGCCCTCACATGTCCGATGCGAGGAGCGTTCGGGCCGCACGCCACTTAGCTAAACCGCATCCGAACTTTACTCGGCCCGCGGCAAAACCAAGAGTTTGCTTTAGACAGGTCGGCATCAAACGGCGCGTAATAAGCTCGACTGTGGTCTTTTCGACACATCCCCGCCGCGTCGGCGCCTCGGTCCGAGCCGTTCAGGATGGAGCGTCGGTGGGAGTCAGCGTCACGGCCGTCCGCAAAAAACGTCCGATTTTAGCAATGTATTAACTGCAAATGCCCTCAGAAGACCTCCAATACACGGCATCGATGCACAACGCCGTCTTGCATTCAGTGCCTACAAAAACCAATGGTTACTCATTCTGAGGAATAAGAGAGCAAACAAGGTTTCGATCCAGCCGCAAAATTCAAGGAATGTGGCGGACAACTACGGCCCCAAGGCACTGGCCGCTCCATCACGAACACTATGGCGTTCGAGATCATTTCGCGAGCAGGATCGAGAAACACAGCTCTCATAGAGGCACATCCACCTTGATTGCCCGCTCTTATCGGAAGCCCGAACAGATCATGGAGTTCTGCATCATCTTGAAAGAACGGAAAACTGCATGCTGGCTTGTACGAAGCACGCCGATCAGCAGGAGAATGTGCAACGCTCCAGCATGCACAATACACAAGTACAAATACATCCGATGAAGTCTGAATCCACGCCGTTCGTCCACACTTACCTAAACGTAAAGGCACGACACACGACACACACAACACGACACACTTGAGAACAGGGCAGCGCTTCCTTGAGCTGCCGGCAACTCGCCCACCTATCCCTGTGTGCAAGCGTCCCTTCGGCCACGTCTGGAACATGAGCCGCGCCGAGACGCGTCAACCGCCGCGTCAGGCGGTGATCCAGCCGGCGGTGACCAGAAACGAGACGAGCTGGCGCCGGTGCTGCTTGTCCAGGCCGTCCGGGTAGCGGGGCCGCGCCGACCGGCCGCCAAACCGCAGCAGCTGGTCGCTCAGCAGACCCGTCTTGAAGGCCACGTAGCTGGCCGGGCGCAGCCGGAGCCGGGCGCACAGCTGCGGGCGGCGGGTGGGCATGCGTCAGTCAGCGGAGAGGCCGACCGCGAACGGACGCAGCCACTGAACTGTGTGCAAGCACGGACAATCAGCTGCCCCTGCTGCACGCAGTTACATGACACAGATCACTTGCTGCTCTGCTGCACACACTGACAGTGACATTTTGTTGTCAGACGAAAATTAAACGCATCTCGCAGACAGATGCTTTCCGAATGACCAATCAACGACGGGCAGTGTCAAAAACATGCCGACAGCAATGCGCCACGTTCGTCATTTGTCAACAGCCAAGTAGGGATGTGTGCAATTGGGGCTTTATGGCGCACTCAGCTGCTGGGGCTATATGGCGTCGCCTGCCTGTCACCCTGGTGGGAAGGGCGGACACTGCGGGGAATCGAACCCCGTACCTCTGGTCTCCCACACGCGCAGTGGTTAACGTCAACAGCCAAGCAGGGAGTTTTGACCGTACCACACCCGGTCGCACAATTCCCTCCCGCAGAACCACCCCGCAAAGGTCGTTGCTGAAGGCCCCGGCCGCGGCTGCCTGAGGCAGCCCATCAGCTGTTTCGCCAACCGCGCCCCTGCTATCTACATAGCAGCTAGCTGCAATCTCCACCTCTAGTCTGTTCTTCTGTTTCTCGCATCCATTTCTTTGCATCTCACATCCGCGTCCCCTGTCTGGCTTCACTATCGCCTCACCCACCTGTTCCCCGACTCGCAGCCGTCTTTCTATGACGGCTAGCTATGTACGTCCCGCCATTTCTCCGCACTTCCCACTAGCCTTCATACACCTCTCGTCATTTCTTCCCACCTCTCACCCGTGTCTCCCGCGTTTGCCCAGCTCCCTCCGCCTCCCATCCGTTTCTCCGCGCCCGCCGCCGGTCCTCTGGCGCCTCACCCGCTTCTCGGCGCGGCTCAGCAGGTGGAAGCCGGCCGACTCGTTCAGCGGCTCGGGCTCGTCGGTGGCGCCGGCCGGCGAGCCGTCAGCGGCCGCCGGCCTGCTCACGCTGCCGCTGCTGCTGCTGCTGCTGCCGTTGGTCGAGCAGGGCGCGTTGAGCCAGGATGAAGCGCCAGTAGCGGGAGTTTCGCTCTTTCTTTCGGGAGAAGCGCAGGAGCTTCTTCTTTCGCTTGATGGGCTGCAAGCACAGAGGGGTTGGCCGTTACAAATGCGACAGAATGCGGGGCAGGCAATCTTTGGCTGTTCGGTGCTGTAATGGAAGGGGAGGAGGGTGGTGGAGGGATCGGAGACGAAAGCGTTTTGACCGGCTTCTCCGGGAGGGCAGGCCAAAACTACGGGACATTACGCGGATCGGCTGCCGTGCTGCGGACCTCATACGTAACGTCCGGACGCCAAGCTAATCGTATATCACCGCCGAAGCCCACGCAATGTCCTGCGGCCAGAGTGGATGGTAGCGCTGCCTTCCGGACACACGCCATCACCTGCCGCGGGGCCCGCCACCCGCCCGTCCCGCGCGCCCCCTGAGCGGGGTCTGGTCTCTATCGTGCGCCGCCCGGGACCTCCAGGTGGCGCTGCACTCACCCGGACGGCTGCGCTTTCTCGTCAGGGTCGTGGGCCTAGGGACAGACGGAACCCCGGGTCAATAGGTGCCCGCGCCACCGCACAGCGCCGGGGCGGGAGGGGGCCCGGGTCGGCCGGGACGGACGCCGGCTCTCCCGCCCCAGAGGCCCGCCGCCGCGGAGCGTCACAGGCGTGTCGTCGGAACGGCAGAGGCCGCCCGTCGAGACAGCGCGGAGTGTAGTGAGCCCTTCCATGGCCCCATAGCGACAGGACAGGTACGGAGGGCAGGACAGGAAGGGACACGGACTTGTTCGAGCAGCCAAGCGCTCTAACATGCTTGCCGGGGAAATGAAATAAATACGGAAGGAGCGGCCATGTTCATATCCCTTTTTGCGGTCAACAATTCCTCGCTTATAAATCAATACAAATTTGCTTTCGCTTATATCTGTCAATTTGTCAGTGCTATGGATGTGGTGAATTGTGCTTTCAACCTCCCTTCTGTGATGTAATTTTCCCGTTCCTCTAATCTTGTGATGCTGCTGACCGTCTCGTCTGCTCAAGACCAGCAAACATCCTCACACTATGAAGCTTGTGCACGCAAAACTTCGATTTGAATCTGAGCATCAGGGCGAAAAAATTCCATTAAAAAGACAGGGAGCAGAAAAGCAGGGAATCAGAAAGAACGAAAAGTAACACATTTGCCATGGCCTCAAAACACCCGCCCTGCTTATTTCACCGCGTATCAGAGCTATCATACCCTATCATTTAGCAGAATTGCTTTTTTGTGAAGGGGATGCAGCATAAAGAATGTGCGAAGAGTGGAAAATTACGCGTTCGTGAACCTTTGAGCATAAACCCGAGCATTCCGAAGACACTAACCCCCTTGCAATCTGCGCCTTTGTTCCGAAGCGCGCCAGTCATTTCATTCGTCTGTTTCTGCGCACCTGATCCGGTCACCAACGTAATACACTGTTGCTTTGTCGACTTGTCAAAACTACCCACGTTGGACGGCACCTGTTCTTTGAACTTTCCCCAGAGCAGGTCATGGAAACGTGCAGATCCTGCAGATCCCACCGCCCGGACGTCACAGCGTTTGTGCCTCCGCGCTGAGCTTGGTACAACGGTTTGTCCAACTGGGAGCTGACAGGCTTTGTAGAGATGAAACCCGCAACGTATCGACTTAAGTGCTATATATATATATATATATATATATATATATATATATATATATATATATATATGGTAATTAACAGGCGCCCGGGTGGGGTAGGAAGGTCAAATTGACCCCCCAAAGGTTTTTCCGAAATGGTTTCCGAACGGTGCGGCGTAACCACGCTAAATTTTGATAGCTGTAGTCAATTGAATAGCAAACCGCTTGACATAACAAATTTAAATGTGCCTTGTAAGGTCGCTGACCTATGACAGGTCAAAGTCAGGCCATGGTTTCAGCGACGGCAATTTCTAGAGAATCGTTCAATCTGATGTAACAACGGGTGTTTGACGAAGTCATACATCTCTGGCATCCTTTCTTAGGCAAAACAATTATTGAATGAGCAAATTACGTTGACCTAAGGTCAGATATCAAGGTCAGACCGAGGTCAAAACAAACCTGTTTTATTACTCTACGGCTTGCTGCATGGGATAGTTTCTGGTGCTCATTTCGAATTTATTGATGGCAGGAACCGCATTATACATCTTTCATTGACTTGTACAAGGTCATAATGGGTCACTGACCTAAGATGACCCAGGTCGACATTTTCTTTTTAGGAACATACTGCCTAGCGTAATCTTGGTCGCTTATTCAAATGCAAAACTCAGCGTGTCACTATGACCTGCAAAAGGTCAAATGTCACTGACCTTGAATGAGGTTGAGACCTTTTGCTCAGAAACAGCTATCTAGGTTGTGGGGGCACTTTGGAAACCAACCTAGAATTTGACCTTGTCTGACCTTATTTGACCTGCAGGTCATGACCTAAGAACCTCAAAATTTGGCCTAAGTGAGGTCACGTACAGGTCAGCACATGCTAAAAATCTGGTGCCTCTAGCTTTCTTAGTTCCCGATATCTCATAGGGGGCAAATTGACCCCCACCCGAGCGAAGGGTATTTAGCCGGCCACCCGGGCGCGCGTTGTCACACACATTAACTCATTTCCGAGCGAGCCGAATTCATTTGTACGGACTGCTTCGCAGAAGTCATGCCCATTCTGCGAGCCAAACCTGAGGTGTTGAGCCTGGCCGGCACGTCGCAGCCGACCAGTGAGCCCCAATGATTGATGAATCCTATTCCCTTGAAGTTTATCACTTCATTTCATTGTTTACATTCGTTCGTCGTTGAGCTACCTTTTGTGTTGCAGCCAAACAACTTTAACCACGGCAATCCGGCAATACAGGTAGGTACTGCATTTGCGTACGGGGAAGCATTGGATGTTTTGTACATATCCAGTTCGTGCGGACACAACCATAATGCCGCCTTGTGACCAATCAATGTGAAATCTAATGAGCGAATTCCACCAGTTCGTAACATATATCTGTAGCTTGGACGCCGAATGACACTGGCTGTGGTCGTGTACAAAGCTCCCGATTATCGTGATCAGATTTCCGTGTTCTTCAATCATCAGTCGTGCCGCGGTCCCACAGTACTGAAGTGTTAGTCTGTTCTGTTCAGTTGCCTATTCCGTTCGGCCGTTTGTTGATTGGTGAGTGCTAACATGCCAAAACTCTCCTCTAACACATAACATACCCTACAAACAAAAGATCACGCAAGAATGGAGTTCAGGGAATGAATTCTGATACTAAGTTACCCTAGTTATAGTAGCCACTACCCAATATCCAATGAAGAAACAAACGCACAAGGACAATGCCGGCTGGTTTAAGCTCTTTCAATCCGGCTTTTTGCCTCAAGACGTTGCAACAGCTTTCAGCGCTCCAGGCAGGAGACACTTCAAATACTTTCTTCATGATACGCACGCTTCTAGCAGAGCTTCTCAACATGAACCCCGCGTGATACCCACGACAGTGATAATGCCTTAAACTCCCCACGTCATTTCCCGTCACCCTGATCAACTTGTGCCGCCACACATTACCGGTAGACGTCAGTGGAGAGAAACCTGGCCACCCACGACAAATTCAGAGAAGCATTACATGTTTACTCCTCACAAAGGCAAATACATGGGACTGGTTCGAACATGTCCATATTCTCCCTTCCCTAAATACCCGACCGGCCTGCTAAAGCGACGCTTGACAGCAGGACCTCAGATGATCGTCACAGCAGGATACAATTTGAGGATACACCTACACGAAATCAACAACCACAAGACGGAAATCTGACGGGAAGTTGGCACATTAAGGTTTGTGCGAAATATCTGCGCGGAAAGAAACTGCATAAACACATGACAAAGCATACTAAGGGGCTTAAAAACAAAAATTGCAATGAATAGTTGTTTTCCTCATGCAACACTAGCTGGGAAAAGTAACAACCAAGGCCAAAATAACAAAACAAGTGAATATAAAAGAACGCGCAGATGCACCTGAGTATACATACATACATAACATACATACATATATATATATATATATATATATATATATATATATATATATATATATATATGCATACACAACCAGATTATGTCTTACCCAGCAGCTTTATTGAATGCATAACACTCGGTCTTTTCTGGCCACCAAAGCTGCAAAAGCCGGACCAGGACCCTTTCTGAGAGCACTGAGGACGAGAGGGCGAGCACGCGAAAGCACACGTCCGCCGAGCTCACCTTCCGGTCGTCCGTCTCGGCGCTGCGGCGGCTACGTGCGCGCTCAAACTCCACGCAGTCAGCGATCTTGGTGATGCCGTTACGGCGGTACCTGGCGACGGGGACACCGGGCCACGGCGCGTCACGGCACCCGCGACGGCGGCGCGGAGGCGGGCGCGGCGAGCGTGCCGTCACCGCTGTGCTACGTTCACATAGCAAGGTATTCAACAGGGGGCGTCACGTCCACATGATGATTCACAATGGCATAATCGTTACGAAAACGTATGCTCTTCGATGACAGCACGTTGCTTGGCGCGTACCATAACACAAGAGCGATACACAGCGACCGGGAGCCCAGTGGCGTCTTCATGGGATACACCATCGGCTCACCGCATCAGCTCCTTGACGCGGTAGACCAGGTCTCGCTCGGCCTGAACGTTGTCGTGGAACTGCTGGTACTCGGTGCGCGTCAGGAACTGCCCGAGCGTGCGCAGCCGGTCGGCCAGCGTGCGACCCTTGTCCTGGCGGCGGCGCGGCATGCGCGCGCCGCCCGGCACCTGCAGCAGCGCCTCCTTCTTCAGCTCATCGAAGAAGGCGGCCGGTAGCTGGTAGTCGCGCACCACGCGCTTGCGGCGCGCCCGCTCCCGCTGCCGCTGCACGTACATGTCCACGTGAGCCAGCTTCAGCGCTGCGGAGGAGGCCGAATGACGTCACGCGCGGGGGGAGCTGACGTTACGCGCGTTGGTGCGGGCCGGGCCGAAATAGCCAGGCCGGGGCTTACGCGGCCGCTCTGTCGTTGCGTCAAGCCCCAAAAGGACTGTAGTGGGCAGTGCATGTGGAGAAGAGAAGGCTGCTTAATGGAAGGACAGGCGGACGGGCTTATGGCATTATGTATGCCGACCTTTATGCTAACTAAATCCCTCAACTAACGAGACTGGCACACACAAACATGCCTTCTTGATTACACATAGCGAATGTATGTAAACCGAGTCACTACACTTATTTGACTGAAGCCCTACAGCATGTATGACATTAATCGGGTATCTTAATAATGTCCTAAATAAAACAATGACTAGCCCCCCTTCTCCCCCCCCCCCCCCATTGCAATCAAAGGCAACCTTTCCTTGGTTGAAAGGCATGCGTCACCCCGGCGGATGTTTCGCGATGAAAACGCCACCGGGGCGCGCTGTTCATCATTCTGCCACTAGTGACTTGACGGCGGATCATTTCAACGACGGACAATAACGACCACATTCACTCACCAACGTCGATGTCCTCATCCTCCACGCTGCCTATATTGAGCTGCGAGACGAGCGTCTCGCATGTATTGTCGTATTCCTGCAAAAACAGGCATTTGCTGGAGGAACAGCTTTTCAGCGATAGCTATGCGAGGTAGAAGACTATATGAACGAAACAAGTGCGTTGTCGAAAAGCTAGTGACACAAACTTGTGCAAGGGAAAATGAAAAGACTGAAACAAGAATATATAAAGCAAACACACAAACAGGCCTGCGCACCAGCAGACTGTAAGACCCAGTTAACAATGGAAGGCAAGTGGCTAAGATCCTCCACGATCGGGGCGCGTCAGATGGACCAGCTCCCGTCCTCAGCAGACCCACGCCGTCCCTGGCCCGCCTGCGCCTGCCCCCGCGGGGCTGCCGACAGACCCGTTCAAAGTCGTCGCGGAGCGGCATGTAGCCAAGCTGGGCGGCCTGATCGCCCTCCAGCTGGAGCGGCGCTAGGCCCGGCGACATGGTCAGGCTGGGAGAGAGCGGGCCAGAGTCCGAGCCCGTGTGGTCCACGGCCACCGGCAGCTGCTGCAGCTCCGACAGCGGCGGCATCGTCAGCCGGCCCGTCACGCCGTTCACGAAGTACGTGACGAACTTGTCATGCGCCTCTGCGGGGACGACCGTCGGCCGGCGCCCACGGTCAGCGTGGCGGGGTGTGTACGCGGCTCCGGGGATGTCTGACGAGCTTCCGAAGCGATCCGTGGCAACACGCGCCTACCGCTCCGTACTCCGCACATTTCCTCGTACTCAGATATTCTTGGATAAAAAGACAGCACACACTCAAACCCGGCTCAATCGCCATAGCCAATCAGCCAACCCCGTTCAGGCTGGAAAAGGCAATACGCCTTCATCGTAATCGGAATTCAACTTGATACCGAGCTTCAGCAACATAACGACCCTCACATACTTGCAAGACCACGCACTGCACCAGGAAGTAGTCAACAACATTGAAGGATTCCTGAGGACCCCATTGACACAACATCCATCATCACACCAGCGGCCACATGGCGCGTACCATCGGGCGTGCGTTTCTCGATGTGTCTGGCGATGTCCACCCAGTTGCCGAAGCCGTACTGCTCGATGGCGTCCAGCAGGCGCACGTCCTCCTTCGCCGTCCAGGCGTTGTCCGAGTTGAACACGGTGAAGTTGCCCGGATCCTGAAGCGGGGGTACGTGCATTCATGATCAAGGTCGCAGCGATTTCGATACCGCACAAGAACACAGAGCATTGAACAGCGCATGCAGCTCGCAACCTAGGATGCTTGACAACTTAACTACGCAAAGGCCTATCATATTACTTTGGCATTCCGAATTAAAAAGACCTAGTCAGCGATCTGTCTTCAATACGAGTTGCAGGATTTGTTGAGACAAGACAAGAAGTTGCAAGACTATCAATACTGTTAAGGCACTTACCATGAATTGGTAGCTGTGGTTGTTCTTGTGCTTCCCTATCTCTGCACCGCAGGAGAAACACTGCAAAATCATGACGAGAGGTTACAGAGGTTACAGAAACTGCCACACCGACTTACCGTACGCCGGCTCCGGCTTGGCACCAGCGTACAGGTGGGGAATGCGACCCGCGCCGCATCGCGAGCTACGCCGACACAGCGACCGACGGCGCCCACCCGCTGACGGGCTGTAGCCGTCGTCACGGCCTCACCCCTGGACAGCGGTCAAGGGTGCACCAAACACACGGAACAACGTGACAACATTACGGACATCCCTTGTCAGCACCACAGACACACCTTGGTAACTGCTTTGACACCTTTTTGCTATCATCACCAATAAAATCTACCAATCATGCACTGTTGCCATCACAAATGAACTCCAAGCCAGCAATAGATCCATTTTTGGTAGGATTCTCAAACATCAAATGAGCCAGCGAATTAAATCAGACAGCATATACACACACAGAAGACAGTGGTTCTTGTGAATTGTTGACACTCTCAAATATATGCAGCTTTGCACAACAAGGCAGTTTCAGCTATACCCAGTTCACTCACTTCTCTGCTCTTACCTGCAGGCAAAGATCAAAGTCTTCACACTCCACACATTTGATCCTCAGCCCGTTGATGTTCTCCTGACAGTAGTTGCAGTGAAATCTTCCAAAAGTATCTGAAAATAAAACACAGGGCTAATCTGTAAGGCTCCCTGTCCCCCAGATGTAAGGCCAAGGTTGCCTTGCATTACAATGCCTTGAACTGGTGCTAGTAAATGTGACAAGGATAAGTACATCAGTTATCAGCTAATAAGTGAACAGAAGATTGGTCCATCAATAAGGAGTCACATATGCATGCTAACAATGTAACTGTTATTGGCCCATAGTTCTTATATCTACATTATGAGCACACATTATTAGTGCATAAACCATATAGCCATTGACCTTATTGCTAGCACTGGATGAAACAAAACAATTTGGTCTTGAAAACCACATGGTACACAAAATTTGACTTTAGCCTCAAACTCATGATGTCCGGTCGATGCACTAGCTTGGCTTTGCCTTAACATATCCTAAGTTAGAAGCCACAGGCTTGACTTCAGCTACACACATGCAAACTTGAGGCCACTAGCCTCCAATCTGACCTCATGTTTTGAAAATATGAAGCTATTGGCTTCACTTTCAGGATTGCAATTTGCGCCATTTCATGACTGATCACGCTCAAAGTAATCCTTTCAAGTCTGTCCAGCAGTGCAAATGTACATCATTTTGGTCAGTTTGACTTGAAACAGGTCGTGATGTCCTTACCATACTGAGTTTAACAAGCACACACCTGCCACTATTACAAAAAATACTGACATCCACATGGGCAATTATTTCAACACAGTCAATGGCAGCTACCAGGTGTCATGCAATGAAACCCCTCTTCCAATTCAGATTTAGCAGAAAACAAAGATTACCTTCACCCACAAATTTGGGAATCATTTTACATTTAGCAACTAAAACTTTTGCTGATGAAAAGTTTTTAAGGTGTGCCTAGTAATCCACAGTTTTTTAGCATTGTCACATTGCTCATTTATTAGTTAAATGACCTCATCTAATCTATGAGGCTTTGTGTATAGTTTATTGCATGCAAATGTAGCTTTTGTGTGATGATTTACTACAGTGGATCTACAGTGGAACTGGAGACAGGTGAAGAAGGCACTCTCCCATTAAACACCAGCCACATCAACCTCATCAATACCATCAACCAACATCCAAGAACCAACAACACCCTTCTTTTGTGCTCCAATATTGAAATGAATACTGTAGCCAAGAAACAACAGTAGTCAATTCTTGATTTCTGATTTCAAGTGTAAAGGCCACATCAAATTCATCACACCAAGGGAAAAATTCATGAATTGTTCACTTTGCAATCCAAGCCCCAAAGCACAGTAGGGCTGTCAACTAGTTGTTTGAGGCAGCCTGATTCTTGCCAAAGAAATGGTAGGAGGAATGTTCTGCTAACCTATTGGTTCCATTCGTCATTCCATTTTTGAACCACATATTGGTTCCTGGTTCCAAAACATGCTTAGTTAGAAGATTTAGACCATTAGACCATTTAGGAACTAGAGTCCATTGTAATATGGAGTGTGTCTTCAACTAATTCCACCACAAAAAGCAGCTATAGATGAAATATATGGTTCTACCCCAACTACAAGAAAATATCATTGAGGCCCAGACAATGACAAATGCACAGTACCCCACACATGTCTGGCATAGCAGATATCACTGCAAAAATTTCAATACATGTACACAGTACATCCAGACAATGAAACGTTTGGAATACAATCACTGTACGTCACGATGAACAGGAAATCAATGTTTCAGAAAATTATCAAAATGCACAGGCAGACAGCACAAAATACACAAAACACTTCTCACTCAAAAGTCATTTTAAAATTCTGCAACATTTGGCATGGACTGAGTTAGATACATGTGACAGGACAGCTCATCAGATGCAGACTAACAATTAGACTGGCTTCAAAACTATGCTTTATTGTTATACAGATAGACCCATCACATAAATACAGCTTCACAGATACACCATGCCATTCAAACCAGGCATTTGTATTTGCATCAATACGAAATCATCGTTATTAAGTTCGAGCTCGTCAACATGAGCCGGAAAACAAACCATCATTTGATATAGCACACGGAATGCGCGATTTGACGAACCCGGCGCATGGGAACTTACCAGCCATAGTCATCAGCAACTTTGAGCATCTAACTCGGGACTTCGTAGATAATTTCACATAAGAACCGACATGTCATAAAATTTACGAATTTGGCACGTATTGTGTTTCAAACATAATCACGTACAGCTAGCACACTTTGATCCCCTCCACACACTTTTATTTCAAACAAGGAACATGCAATTGTTGTGATCAAGGTAGACTGTCCATAAGCTCGGGAAGTGCAAGTGACGTACCACAGGTTTTGAGACATTTCATTGGTGTAGTTTCCTGACGTCATAGTTTTTCCCTCGCACAATGGTGTGTGATGGTAACACGGATTGATCACTTGATTAAAGTGCTAGAATATGTACACTATTCCAGCCGGCCTATAGAAGGTGGCCAGCGGAGAGCAGTCGGCGCCCATGCGCCTTATGGACATGAAATACTATAGCATGTATGAACAATGCCGCGATGAGTCTAATTCAAAGTTGTTAGTAAAAAATAAATCATATCTCACCGCAGGCGGTCAAATATCACGTATGATGCGTTGAAACGTTGCATATGCTCAATTTCCTTGTCTTCATTTGTCTTTAAAGTAAAAAAAAGTTAGTCCATGGATAAATTTCGTTAAGGGGCACGTGCCCCGGTGTCGCTTCAATATGCCCTAGCAAAAAGTGAGCACGCTGTAAATAACAAGACTTCTCAGCGCATTGCTGCTCCCTGAACTCTTGGCTTTTCAGCATTGCGAGCTCGGAGTTTGTATTCATACGAACATCAAACCGCAGTATGCCGGGAGGCAATGATTAAGCGACGTGTTATTAAGAAAACATGTCAAATTGACGAAACTGACGTTTCAAGCTGTGCTTATGGTCACCAGTGGGACGCAGTGGGCCGGGCTCAGGTCATGAGTGGGACGTAATGGGCCGGGCTCAGGTCATGAGTGGGACGTCGTGAGGCGTGCTCAGGTCATGAGTGGGACGTCGTGAGGCGTGCTACGGAGATGAATGACCAAGGGCATAGTTTGAAATGTTGAGTTTTGTCAATACGGCCAATGTTGTTTTTTTGGCAACGCCATTGAACCATTACCTCTTGGTGTCCTGAAGGTCGGTCGTTGTAAGAATAAGAACTTTCATCTCACCATTCGCACTTAATTACAATTTACAACGTGCTCACCTCAAAGCCCAGATCCGTAATGATGTACAATTTTGGAAAGGGTTGATCAGCAAGCTGGTGTCAAGTTGTGCGCATTGGCTTAAAAACTGAACTCGTCCGATATTTGCTACGACTGATGTTTCCGAACTTAAATTATTATTCCTCGACAATCTGTGCCAGAATCGGTGTTCATCTTTATCCATGGTAGCATTGCACGGCATTGGAAGTGACGGTCATAAGGGTCGGATGAGTCTGTGCGCGGTTTTGGTAGTGATGACCATTAGGGTCCATTGAGCCTGGACACCAGTAGCTTGCAGGTAGATTGCAGTGCTTGAACTTGAAGCCCAGAAAACATCAAAGACAGGTAAACTCAAGCAGCCTTTAACGTGTACTAACAGGTAGCGTGAGATGAGATTATGGCACCATGGAACAGGTCGGTTTTGCCATATTGATGATGAGGGGTCGTAACGGCGATAATCATGCTCAGTGCGAGAAGAACGATTTTGTCGGGCAGCAGGTGCAACACTTGTCCCGGCTTTGTTCCCAATTATTAGTTTTAAATGTTTTGTTATATCCTTATTTTTACTTCTGTATTTACAATACTTTTAAAAAGACGTCAAACGTTGCTTTGTTGGCTCATTTTGAGACAGTGTTTTCCTTTTTATCGCTTCAGACAGATTAGGGCCAAAACATCTCATCAATTTTTGCACTTGCCAAAATGCCAGTTCCTGGTTATCTTTTGAATCCTTAGCTCCCCATCAACTATCAATCAATGTCGAAACATTTGCCCTCTCCACCACACAGATAACCTGTCAGCTGTAGAAGGTAAATAGATGCACAAATCGACCAATGAACCTTATTATCCGGTTCCGGCCTTTATTCATACCTTGATCTGTCACGACACACGGTCAGCGAACGCCGGGTGACCTGAGAGCTCTGACCACAGCAGGAAGCGAGGCTATCGTGACGGAAACAAGCCCTGGAGACCGCAGGTGGCCAAAACAGCGAGCATGAGATTTAGGAGAGCGTTCCACATTCATATGGGGTTTTGAACTGGAACAACCGTCTTGAAGATCATTCTGTGCAGTTCACAGCCCTGTCTTCTCAATATCCAAACCCTCTAGGTTCCTATCTACATGCCCACGAAGCTGTGGAGCTTATTTGGGGCGAGTTTTTCAAGGTTACCGTGGCATTTGTGATGTAATGACACCATCGAAATCCTGTCATTCTATAATTCATGTGACGATCAAGGCCAGACACATATAATGGTCGAGTCGTTCATATCTGGCGTTCGTAAGCACGCTTTCTAGATATAACGGCCGTCGACTGGCTCTAAATCAATGCTGTACAGGGTACGATGACGTAATCAAACAATGGCGTATCGAAAAACATATCTACTTAAGATAGAGTTTGTACTGTTTTCAGCAGTCTTATCCACTTAGAAGTATTCCGAAAGTTATAGTTGAGATTGTTTCATCATATCTGATGCTTGCTTTAATATCTTCAAATATGCAGCATTCCACTTAGAGTTTTCGGCATCAGCAACGCCGATTTCGGTGCTACGAAATATGCTTGTGTCTGATTCCGCTTCGGCGTAATCGGTTCTGACTCTGACACACAATGCATTGGGCGTAGCCGAATGCTCATTTCGAGAGGCAGAAATATGTTTTGGGTCATGATGCATTCCTTCTCAAGAGCCTTAAGTCCATGTCCTTTTTCAACAAGCTTAACCCAAAGAAAAATGCTTAGAATATAGCGTTGACGAGAAATTTGCCATGCTTGCAATGATTTGGACTAATCTAGACAATGCATCAAAATCCGACTGCGAACCGGTCTGTGTTCATGCATTTCGGTATTTCAACATGGCTGCTGATACACCCGTTAGCGAGTCAGGCGTGCCAAGATCTCCATTCGCTCAAAAAAGATAACGATGAGTAGAGTATCAAAGCACGATAGCACTGTAAAACTACCCCCACATGTCAACAACTCCGTTGGCTTTAAATCAAGGGCAAGCTGAATTTACTTAATCTGGCTTCCAGAGCGGATTAACCATACTGCCAATTGGTCTTGGAGTGAAATATATGTCATCTTGGGCAAAACAAAGCAGCTCGATGGAGTGGGAATCTTGTTCAGGTGATTGGTCCCTAGCATGCTGCAGGTAAGCCGATTTTGATGAAAATAACGTAGAAGTAATTTGGAAAGCCTTGTCGCAATCATATATGTGATGCAAGATAGCGTTACCACGTGGACAAAAACCAACCCTAAAAACAAAGCCCTGACACCGCAACCATTCTCAGGACTTTCGACATGCCCATTACACCAGTCATATTCGGCACGTTTTGACGATGCACCATTCCGAGTCGAAAAACGACCTGATACAAGTAATATTTCAACCATGCAACGCCTCCACAGTTACCCTGAATGTTCAGCAAACCCTTAGAATGTGAAATCTGCCAACTTGAGACTACAACCAGCTAAGAGTTTGCTGAAACATTAATGCAACAGTAAACAGCTGACTGCATCCGGCTGGCCCATTTGACGTGATCAACGGAATTTTTAGGTATGCTTTTCGCAGCACTTTTATCAAAACGTATGCACTATGAAGGTTTATCGGGGTTCGTTAATCCTTTACCTCCTATACTTCTGCCATCAGAATCGACTCATTCATAAATTCCGAAATTGATAATGAACGTGATCAATTTATGTATTCCTTGTATGGGGTCGGAGAGTCAGCTCAAAGCTATGCTGCACTCCTCAGAATTAAATAAGAAATCAGCCTCACGTGGCGTAAGTTGAGATCGCCATGGATTTCCTCGGAGTGAAATCAAGCACTCATATGAATGTGAACTTCTATGGGCAAACTCAACGTCGCCTGGAGATTTTGCCTGATGTGACCTCGATCTCGAGCCAGCTTAAGAAAAGTCGCCGGGTTGATGACGCCTATGACAGGACCAGTGCAACATTTTGTGCGATCGTGTGAGCCATAGTTGCGGAGCAGAGACGACATCCACGAATCAAGTACGCTCATAAATGCTTCCGGTCTGGTGTGAACACTATCAATAGCCAACGAACGCCTTTGTAAAATTCATGTATTTCGTGTCAAGGGGCCCGCGCATACTGTTGTACACAAAGTACCCACATGACGCAAGGTGGCAATATCAACACAACATTCCTGTGCAAATACTGCAACACAAATTGGCGACAAAAAACCACAGCCTTCTTGTAATGTATTGCCTGATGGAGAACGTTCACTAACATGACTTAAAATGTACACCCATTGCAGAGTTGCAAAAATTCGCGCACAGTCGACTGAGCTAAGATCCAAGCACAGCAGGATCATGTCGACCGATCTAACCGATCCAGCATATCAGCTGACCAATCCAGCCGATCCAGTATGGCAGCCGACAGATCCAGGCGATCCAGCATACCAGCCGACGCTCCTCAGTGCACAAGGATCAAATCACCAATGCGAGCACAGATTATCCGGCTAATCACAAGGTAACATTCCATTAAGCCGAACAATGCTCTACAACGTGATCGCAATCACAAGCTCTTATAAACTGGATCAGATCACCAACCAGGCCCTCCTGATATTCCCTCCTTCTGTCGGCCTGGATGCCGACCGAGATTGAGTTCAGAGCTCGAACCCAGCCGTTCTTTGTGCCAACGCCACATATGGCAGGCCCATCTTTGCCGGCTGTGCTCATCACTGAATGTATGACAGGATGTGCCAGGACATTCACTTGTCCTACAGAGGCACCCGCAATCTCAATCATTTTGCATGTCGACCAGCACCTTTAGATATTCTGCAGGGCTAACCAGCACCTTTCAGTAAATGAACAAAATCACCAGCTTTTCAGTTATCTGAAGAATCACCCGTGTCTTTAGTCCAGTAGAGGTTTATGCGTCTTCAACCGTCCCGCAAACCAAACGACACATCTTCAGTCGTCCTGCAACGTCGCTAACGCATCCTTGGCCAACATTAGCAGTTCCATGCGCTCCTCCATGTTTTCTTGCAGCGCCTCCATCAACAAGAAGAACTGGAACAGCGTGTCCTTGGGCCAGACCGTCTCCTGAGAGCGCCGCTGTAGCAATTCCAAATTGTTGCTGACCGTACGCTCCCAGAGTTTCGGCTGTCCCGATGGGTCGACGGAGGAATGAGTGCGATCTTCGACCGCCAGCCCGTCGGTGGCCGACTCGATGGTAGCGATAGTCTCCTGGGCGATCCGATGTGTCTGCTCTATCTCCTTCACCTCACGAAAGAGTTGGTTGCGGATGTTCTGAAAGTTGTTCACCATGATGCCGACGAAGATGTTGTTAAAGATGAATGAGCCGATAAGGATCCAGAGGATGACGTAAAAGTAGGTGAGGCTACCACCGGTCTTGGCCATCTGTCGCGCGATGTTTAACCAGTTGTCGAGCGTGAAGATCTGAAAGAGGGTCGCCATAGCGGCCCACATGTTGCCGAAGCGGTTCCACTCCTTGCCTGTCTCGTCCTCCAGCTCGTCGGTTGGTCCGCGGAACACGATCACTCCGAATATGGCGAAGATGTAAAGGAAGACGCCGAGCAGGATAGTGATGAACACCATGGCCGTAAAGGCGTTGATAATGGCGGACACCAGCAGGCGCACCTTCTCGATCCGTGTCACCGTCTTCAGCGAACGGAAAATGCGGAAGATACGGATGTTGTTGACCACCTTGAAGTAGGAGTGCATCGAGGTCGTTCGAGCTTCTTTGGCAAAAGCGCGCATCAATTCAGGCACCACCGACAGCAAGGTAACGACGAAATCGAAGATGTTCCAGCCGCTGAGCCAGAAATCCATGAAGTTGTCTATCCACTTGAGCAAGATCTCGACGACGAACATCACCAAGCACATCCGGTCGAAATAGTCTAGGTAGGTGTTGAGCATCTCGTTGGAGGGTACCTCCGTACCGTTTCTGAAGTTGGTTCTGAATTCCGCTTGCACACCCAGCGTCAAAGAGTTCAAGATTACCAGGGCAAGAATAAAGCCATCAAAGAACCTGGACCGGAGGATCTTTCCTGCGCCAATTCGGATCATCGGGACGATTTTCCTTCCGAGCCGATACTCCAGCCTCATCATCCTCTTATCCGTGTTCTGGGCCTTTAGCTGCTTCTCTAGGTCCAAAGGTGACAACATCGAAAAGCTGACCAGACCGTAAGGTGTGTCCGTCAATGCCCTCTGGAAGACCTCCTCAGAAGCGTCGACCAACTGATGTGACGTCACAGTCGACGCCTCCAACTTGCCGTCCTCGTCGATGCCAGCGTCCAGCAGCCTGCAACGTATCGGCATGGCTGAAACACTCAGCAAACATGACTGAAGGTAGTGTGCATCCCGCCAGACGCGGCAAGCCTGAAGTAGCATTTCTCAAGCAGCACCAGATAGGAGGCGCATCAGGTAATCAGGAGCGCATGTAAAAGCAAGGTGTGCCTGTAACTGTGGCATAAGATACCAAGCGTGACCAGCAGCCGTCTGCCAGACAAATCTGAATGCCTGAGTAAAAGAACCACTCACACTTCAAGGTTTCGTGTTGTGTCAATAAAAGCATCACGCTTCGTGTTACGGCATGCTTGGCCGAAAAACTGATGTTTTTTGGCACTTTGCATCATCCGCATTACCCATCACCGGTGCATTAGCTGGTATCACCGATACCGCGGCTGCCCTCGCCGACTACCGCAACCGCTCAGCAAAAAACACGGCCGCAGATCCAGGCTCAGTGCGCTGACCTGAAGTGTTCGATGAGACGCGAGCGGAACAGCTCGGCCCGGTGCGAGATGAGGTCGGCTGGCGGCGGCGGCGGCGTGACCTCCACGGGCGTGGCTAGCGAGCTGGCGCTCTCCGCCTGGAAGCTGCGCCGCCGGTCGGGCGGCGCCGCCGAACGGCGGCCGCTCTCCGACACGGCGCTGCCCCGCGTGTCCAGCATTTGTCGACCCGCGGCCGGCGGCGTCAGGCGGGGTCACGGCCGCGTGCCGCCCCACACGCAGATCAACACTGCGTCGTCGAAAACACCGGAAATTCCGTCGTGTAGGAGTTGGAACAGGTTGCCGTCGATTGGTGTTCTGTCAGATGGGGGAGGTGAAAGCCAATTTCCTATGTTTTGTATTGAAAAATACAACCTGAAAAACAACCGATAAGTCCCGACGCTTGACCCGTGGCGTCCATGGGCCAGGAATTGTTGCTTACATTTTCGTATGAATAAATGGAGTGCGGGTAAATAAAAACAGGTAGCGACTATAACTTCATATTATGACATGTCACGCATCGTATTACGTATTACGATCTATTACGAAGTTAGTGAATGTCTCGGATGTACGCCATGTAAGCAAATGTAAAACTAAAAGTAAGCTAAAACTAAGAAGCGAATCTAACGCATTTCACTTTGAAAGATGAGTGCATGAAAGGCATTACTCACGGATGAAAGTGCTTGTAAATGTTATTCGTGGATGATGCAGGGGTGTCACGTCCCTTTAGAACCTTCTGCTATGAAATAATTTTCAACGATGTTTGATCAGGCATCAGTCTGGTACTTCAAGGCCTCTTAAAGCCGCACTGTGCTATCTCAAGCATGTTTGAAATGGTAACTCACAGCATCTTGCGTTCTTTCTACAGATTGCAGACCGACTTGTGTCTAACAAAAGGCTACTCTGCAGAAAGCCTCCAGCGACGTTAGTACAAAAAAATCTTCGCCCAGTGTAACACTCATATTCACAGGGGTCCTCCAAGGGTATTAAAACCAAAACGAATGCTACGATATTGAAAAGCCTAGACGACCACCGAAATGGAATGGTGCAAGGTGCCGCTGATATCAGATTGCACAGCATCCTTGCTGTGCCCTGTTTCGGTCGGAGATATATTTCTGCTATGCTTAAAGCTTATTGTTTAAGGCTTTATTCCTGCTCTGCTTAATAATGATAGCAATAGTTAAAAGTAATAGTAATCGTGAAGTAATATTAACATGTACACCAGCCTAAGAGAGGGAGGACCTTTTTTGGTTTGTGTTTGCGCCATAGCGCATATTAAACGTTGTAATATCGGTGACACAAACAACGTGTGCACACCTGAGCTGCGGCTAGTGTTTGGCTGGTGAGAGTGGAAGTGTGTGGTTGCACAGAAGTAAGACAAAGCGCCCACACACTTTCCGCGAAGCCCTGCAGAATCGGTTTGCTTTAGCCGCTGATCGTATTGTCCTTTACGTTTGTTGATCTGTTTAGAAGCGAAACCATCCCAAATGATTAACGGTATTTACTCACAAATATGGTTTACGTCTTCTGCTGTGAGAAAAGTGCTGACTGAAGAAGCCCTCAGGGCTTTGCTCCGTACCGACCTGCGCTTCACTCAAGCCAGGAGGCCGAACTTGTGCGGGACTCAGGCGCATTAGGCCATTCGTAATAATGGTTTGGGTTTTGCGGCTCACCGACCACTAAGTTCCTCTCGAGACGGGGTAAGTTTACTAGGTACCATGAGTGACTCGCCAGTGGTGTGGCAGGGACTGGAACCCAGGAACCGATAGGCCCTGATCCGAGAGACTTAATCACTGCACCACTTAACCAGCATACCACGGTCCCCTGTAGGTGACACCAATATGAACTTTGCGAGTGTTCGTGTGGCATGGAGTAGGCATTATTTGTTACGGAACACTTACGTGGAACGAGGCATAGTTTTGTAAAAGTTGGAGGGAGAGCTGAACAAAGAAAACTGGTCTAGCCTTCCCTCAAAGCGGGTCCTAAAACGAGTCACTTTCCGACTTTGTGCCATTTTCTCAAGGCTTGGAGGGCTATAGCCCCCCTCTCGAACTATGTTTGTGGCGGGCTTCTGTGACACATCTGAAATATGTTTTTAATGCATGTGCCCATCATGCGCGCATTCCATACTTTTGTTTTGTTTTTGTGCACTCATTTCTCATGGCTTTGGCTGCATGTATGAGAGTATTTCGGCAGCAGATCGCCTTGTATGCTTACTGAAAACCACAAAAGTACCATATGAAGCCTGGCACAGACGACCAAGGTCATAAACATCGATTTGCTTTGTTGTGGAAATTGCCATATATGCATACATATATATATATATATATATATATATATATATATATATATATATATATATATATATATATATATATGAGCACATTTAGGAAGGAAAAGTTAGTAAAATTAGAATTATTTTTATGCAACCTTGTTAAAATTATAGGGATCTCAGCCTTGATGGCCTTTTCAAGGCTTCTTTCGATCGATCTTCGGACGTCTATAAGACCTTCCCGATAGTCGTTTTAAGGAGCACCAATGCTCATGATATGAATTTTCCTATTTTCAATTTTCAATTTTCACACGATCCAACTCCACTCAAAGAAAATGTCGTCATATATCACTATAAACGCAATATAGGAGACTGTGTACTCCTTCCTTACAGTACATATATCAGTCGCACCGCAACAGTTTCCAGAAAATGCACCCACAAGACGGCATGCCCCCCTCCCCCTCCCCCACACAAATACTCAACACAAATGCCACCTGACACCAAATGCTAAACAACGAAACAGCCATCGCACGGCTTACACAAACACGGAGACTCATCGCTCTAGAAGTGATGTACATCCTCTGCTTGGAACCTCTTATCAGCAAACAAATGCGCATGGAGCCCTCAATCTGTATGGAGGGCCGCAGTTAGGGCGCAGAGGACCGGGTTGTCCAGTGTTTTGTGTGTCGCTGATAACGGTTGGTGCCTACTAGAGATGATTACGCCAGATTCACGAATGGTCCGCGTTATGTTACGTACTTATTCGGTATTCGTGTGTTATGCCCGTACTTCACAAAATTATGCCTCTAGGTGGGAAATCAGTTTAAAAGTGTCGCGTGAAAGCTTGGATCTTGCCAACGCGTATTCATATCGGTTCTGTCCAAAACTATTGCTCGAGAAAATGTCCGATACGGAGTAATGCTTTTAGCGATATACCCGGTACCAGGACAATCTCTGGTTCCCTTTTATTATGAGCTTTGGTGTCATTTTAAACGAGCCTTGACAAAGAGTTGAGTATGCTATCAGGTCATCTGATCATTAGTTCAGAGCAATCAAAAACATAAAAAAGATCATGGATGCTGGGTTTGATTCACTTTTTAAAGAACAAGCACAAAGCACACACGAACATGCACACACACACACACACATACACACACACACACACACACACAGGCGCGCGCGCGCGCGCACACGCGCACACACACACACACACACACACACACACACACACACACACACACACACACACACACACACACACACACACACACACACACACACACACACACACACACACACACACACACACACACACACACAGATTTCCTTTGTGATCATCAGCCTTGCACCCGGGGGATTCATCAGGTCGCACGTGTTCTAGTGTTTTGTTTTTTGGTTCCGTTTCTAGACAACAAGATGATAAAACACTTTGACAATCGTTCAACATCAACCTTATCTGCCCCTCTTGGTCCCAGTTCACCTGTGGCACTCCCGCACATAGTCCTGCATGACTTGGAAACTGCCCCGTGTAATGCATCGCGCTGCGATGCTTTCCTCTTAAGAGAATCCCGTTATCCGATCTCTGCTTATGTCGATCGTCCTACGCCGGTTTGTGGATACACGGAAAACGCACTGTGTAGATCATGGCGCACCTGGTTTGATGGCTGTCTTGCGTACGTATAAATAACAGCGCGTTCGTGTTTAGACAGAACAGCTGGATTTTTCTCACAGGTTACGAAACTCTGAGTGGATTTACCTCAAACTAACCGCACATACGACGACCCGCAGTGGCCCTCAGGGCGTGAGGTTGAATGTAAGCTTTAGTCCAAACCCTAGCTGCGTCCAAATCGGGCGACTGTCGCCAAACGTTTCTACTTCTGTGGGAGCTTGATACAGTCAACTTGGAAAGCGTGCACGCTGCGCACTAAAGAAGCGTTTTAAGCAAAGATGGCATCCCAGGGGCTAGACATCCGTGACGCACCGCGCCATGAGCCTGAAGCGCCACCTTCAGGAGGCTGTTACCTGCGCTGACCTATAGCCTGGAGCTGGGGGTGCTTGGCCTGCAGACATTTGCATGTCAGACCTGTGACCTACCCACACCAGTTACCAGCGTGTCGCAGGTGGGGCTCTGTTGGTCATGTAAGATGTTTACATGCGCTCTTCATATATCACATAAATTATGGCAGACGATTTTCATGCGACGTCGCACTGCGACAGTTTGAATAGAAGAGCAAACATTACGCCAAACGTGTACGATCTGCGGCATGAAGGGACAGATGGAGGAGCAAGGAGCAAGACAAGGCAAGGAACAAACTCACAAAGCAAGTCAGCTTTGTGAGTTTGCTCCTTGCCTAGGCTAAGCGTAGCAAGAAGTAAACTTGCCACGTTTACGTCTACCAAAACTTGCCTTGCCTAGGCTAAGCGCCTTATGCCTCGGGAACACTCAACACCTGAACACCTGAAGCACCTGAGCACTGAGTACCTGAACACTCGACACAGTACTTGACGTGACACGAAGAACGCGTGCTTCCTCCAAGCGTCTGGTCCGACATGTCTGCGACTGCCGTGTACGTGACGGTCAGCTGAAGCGTACAGTAAGACTCGACCCTGCCATGCCTCAGCGACCAATTCATGGGGGCCGAACGAGAGTACTGGTCACCTCCCGCCCAATAGGTTCCAAGTTTTTACACAAAAGTGAACAAATTTCTGACAAGTATTCAGGCAAGAATTTGTATGCAACAAAAAGTCAATCTCGCCACCGAAGTTGCGTTTTCCATAACGGCCAAAATGAGTCCATAATTACCAATCCACTTGCTTCTTAGTGAGTGTTAGCCGTTCTATGTAAATATTACCAATCGTAACATGACATGTAAGATTCAAAATTGTGAAATACATCTTTTGAAATGCTCAATGGCCTATCTTGCTGAGGCTTTTAAAATATTTTTTTTAGTTGATCACATGCTCTCATGAGAAGGTAAAGCTGACATTTTAAAATAAGTTGCTGCCACCTGGCCCGGTCCATGCTTTCGTTTGACGTGATTTCTGTACGAATCTATTTGTACTTCCTTCGGAAAAAAACTTTGAAACGAAACGGCTAGACGGTAAGTACGAGCGACACCAACAAGCGGGCATATGCGCGCGTGCACTGCCGTTATGCGTACGGGTGTGTACGCACGTGTGCTTTTGCGTCGGTTCGTGTACGGATGCGTGTAAGCAGGCGTGTGCGTGTATGTATGCGTGTGTGTGCGTGCGTGTGTCTGTATGTGTGTGTGTGTGTGTGCGGGTGTATGCCAGCCGGCGCCGGCTGCGGAGGGCACATCCGGCGCCGGCAGCTGCGGCCGACCGGGCTACCCGCGCCGCCTCAGTCGCTGGCCAGCGCCTGCTCGACACGCACGTGTGTACCGGCCGGCTGACCGGGCGCCGCCGCCGGCCACCATGAGGCTCTCCGGCTCGCTCAGGTCAGTACCGCCGCCGGTGACCTCGCTTACCGGGCTGGGGGCCGCCGCAGGCGCCGGGCAGGAGCGAGGCGGGCAGCCCGCACTGATACGCCGCTGGACCGCGCTCTGTCAGGGGCCGTGTTGATGCTAGGCTGATGGTTATGCTATCATTGCCAGCCGTTTGGTGGTGTAGAGCTATGTAAGAAAAGAAAAACGAGTCCTCACTTGTCACGTGGCAGTATTTGGATGGCGGTCAGTGTTTAGGTCACGTGAATTTTTTATGCAATGCCTTATGTATGCTATGCGGATCTTTGGGATTTTGGATCTTGGATCTGCAAACAAGATCTTAGATTTTGTCCATTGCTCGCTTTTAGTTTTCCGACCATTCGTTGATGTTTGTTCGAGTGAGTCATTGGGTTGTCGATTATGGGGAATGTGGTCTTCGTGCTTCTAGTTGATACAAGAGCTTGGAAAATGTCACGGAAATTCAACAATTGATTTATAATATCAGGTGACATGAAAGTCTTTCGTCCATATTTGTTATGTGATGCGTGCGCATTATTTCATCCTATAACCACGTTGGTGTGTTTTGCGGCGCGAAATGAACGAGTTTATTACGAGTGCGTGAATGATGTGCCTTGTGATAGAGTAACGTTTACCTTGCAAAGCGGTCACTGGAGTGGATACAAACAGGTCGTGCCAAGAATGGCTTTCGGTGATCGTGAAAACACTTTGTAGCTTGCAAAAGAACGACATCTAGCGTCACATGCTGCTACACTTAATCCACATTTGCGATGGGCTAGTGTTAGAGCCTGTAATACAATATTGCGACGAAAATGCTGGCATGCAGCAGCATTTTAAGGCAAAGTAACACCCATGTTTCATTTGAATTAAACAAATTGAGGTGAAAGTTGAATGCTGTGTGGAGATCAGCGATATCACCAACATCACCTCTTGAACAACCCTACGTTCGGGCGAGGTCGGCGGCTCTTTCACGTCGGAAAGTTGCCCGCAGTTGAATTGCAAGTCGTTGGGTCTGCTGCCTTGTTGGAAGCGAAGTGCACCAAACATGTTCATAGTAGCATCCATGGGCCGTAGAAGTCGCGTTTAAACTCGAGAACAAGAACGTTTAAAATGAACGTCCCGATTGAATACAACTCGGCCCTAACTGACAAACGTCACATTAGCAAGGAATACCTTTAAACTCCTGGTTTTTCGGCATGGTGAGCCCACCGTAAGCTTGTGCCTTTGTCAGTTTACCTTGCTCAGTCGTTCACTGTACAATTCGTGCACTACATTCGCTGCACGACTATAGTGGTAGTTCTGGAACAAGCCGGGGTGCTGCATTACGGGTGGTGAAAAAGTGCCTTTTCGGTCTCCGATGAATTTTGAAACCGTCTGAATCGCCACCCGGAGTCAAATCTTTCAGAAAACGTCGCAATATATCTAAATATGATAAACCACAAAAAGACGACCCAAATGCAATGCGGCATAACCACCAAATATTTTCGTTTCGGGAGTTTATTTGCAATTTAGTTCTATTTCCCGACCATCAAATACTGAATGTTGGTTGAGATTTACCTTATAGAAATATCTGATAAGGGCATACTTAACATAACCAGCCTAAATGCGTATAGTTTCCTATTCAGTATAGTTCTATTGTAGTGTCCTATAGTTTGGAGGTGTGGGGGGGGGGGGATAAAGTGGGATTGTGCCTGCTACCCAGGGATGCAGTATAATATTTTTAGCTATAATTTTATCCATTATTTTGAATTTATCATAAGTTGGAGAGTTCATCTGCCCAAGAACTAATTTTGAGAGACTACAACCCTGTTCCGATTGCGAAAAAGTGTGCCAAATCTGGGAAGAAAACTGCTTTAAGTGCATTTCGGAGGCAGGCTCAGGCATTTTTTCTTCCTGAACCTCTCCCTCTCCCCCTTCCATCCCTCACCGCGACGTATTTTGCATAACTGCATCCCCATAGCCCTACATTTACCGATAATGTGGTTCTGGAAGCACCTGAAACAGTATCACTTTTGTTTTCGTGACGCCATCGTAAAATCAGCTGGAAGCGTTGGCGACTTTATCCTCGCACAATCATTGCCCGTGCAGAACTTGCACTTCCTAGCATGATCCCAATTATTCAGAGCAAAACCCGTGCAATAATGGTATCAACAGATGAAAACGAATTTTTGAATACCTCTAGCACCTTCATTTAGCGTTATTGCAATATGATGACGACTTAAAGTGTTTTATCTCACGCTTGTCCATCGAGCAGTGCGCTAATTCCGAGGTGCAGCGGGAAATGTGAGAGGCCTACACCAGCGATGCTCGACCCCTTACCTTGAAGCCGCTGTTCCTCTCACTAGCAGGAAGCCCTCGATGAATGCTTTACATGTGTCGCTCCAACGACATCCGTTTACCTCTGAGGCTACGGCTCAGATATCCACAAGAAACAATTCTTCTAGATCCGTAGGGCTTTTTAACGCTATTCCATTAAAAAACTGACGGTTGGCTATGTTTGCCTGGCCAATCAGCTTCTAACAACATGAACACAGCCAACAACAGCCCACCGCCTTGCATTGAACCCAACGCATTTCCAAGTGGCGAGCAATCAAGCCCATCTGTCTCAAATGGCACGACGCTTAAAAACGCAGCGTAGCAAACCAATCACGTTCGTCGCGAGGTGCTGTGGCCAGCCGCGATTCTTACGACTAGCAATAAGCATAGTTATTTAGTATTTTATACTGTTTAGCATGTGAAGTAAATCTTGGCTGCAAAAATCTGTGGAAAGCACTGATCTGAGGGACAGTGGAAGAATACTGTGTCACCACTGATCTGTGGTATCAGCACTAGCACAGCATATAGTTTGTAGTATGTTTCTGTCACCTGCTAAGAACTATCCTGATTAAAGCTGCTATGTTTGGCCACATCTTATGCCTCAACTTGCTTACACAGCAAAACGTCAGACGAATGCTAGGCTTTGAGTTTTGTCGAGGTGGGCTAATTTGTTGTAATGTGGTCTTGCCTGTTGAAACTTGTTTTCAGTTTCGGAAATTTGTCATCAATTGGTTCGCGAATGTGCCAGTTTTTGTTACCGAGCATACCCGGTAAATCAGAAGCTTTTCTCACCCCTGCTGCATTAGGTGGCATTTCAGCTGATGATGTCAAACAGTGAAATACTGTGCACACCACTTGCCTCCATGCACTGTGTCTTATTTACGCAGCGCATTAATACTTCCATCAGTATATGATGTCACGCAATCTTGCACGACTGATTTCTGTATATCAGTCGATAAGGCGATATCATCGCAGCGTTGTTAGTCGCAGAAGATAGGGCTATCTTTCTGTCTGACATTCGACGAAGAACTAGAATATGCACGAAAACAAGCATCAAGTATTCATGTCCACGTTCTTAAAGGGATTAATCCGAGCGAAAATCATGTTAGAGTGATGTAGAAGTAAGTTGTTCATTCGCATTTGTAATTTGTAGTGAATTTGCAAAGAACATTATTCACATAGATAATACAATAGGAGTAACCTTATTCCCCGAGAAAAAAGACCAGAAGAATGAAGATATAGATGGGCTGATATTTTGGCTGCATGCTTATCTCTGAAGCTGCATGCTTGTCTCATAAACCATTAGGTGCCATTCCAAAGAGTTTTCATTGAGCGCTGTAATAACTAAAGGGGTGTTGGCTTGGGCAGGGCCGTGTGTGGGGGGGACTGCCATGTTGTTGTGTTGTCACTGCATCTTCGTTCTGGTTTAGCAGTCCTTCTAGTCTAGTATAGTCCATCTGGAAATACTACCAGGTGACACTCCAATCCCACTAGGCCCACACGTTGGATCCAAAACTTTTACGAAATGGTTTTGCTGTCCAGAGAAAACTTTTTGGAAAACGAAAGGCGATTTATAAATCATACCATTGCGCTGGATATTCTGTATCTAAACAGGCCCTCCCTCAAACAAGTTTTTATATGCTTAATCAGCCTGACTTTCCGAAAAGAGAAACTCGAGAGGAGCATGAGAAGCAGCTGTCTGTGGCCCTCGCCCACCACGTCCTCAGCAAAGGCACATTACTGGTTAAATGGTCATGCTCATGACATAACTATGTGTCCGGTACACTGTAAGTCAGGGAGCCAACAGCTTATGCAGGCACCTCGGAATATGTGAGAGAATTTCTATCTTAAAGCCCATAAAATCAAATATCAATACAAAATTCTCCAATACTGCAAAAATACCATCAAATGCCAACATCATTATTTAATTTTGGCATTCCTCGAATGTGCACATAACGTGTCACTAGCTATTTTAGGCCAATAAAGCTATCGATGACACTGCTTTTTGTTCTCTCAAATGATACCTTTGGTTTATAGGGATATTTTTGGTAGGGGTTCGTCTCGTTAAACAAATTACTCACTTCAGTAGCGATTAACTCTCACAGTGGCATAGAAACACACCAAGAGTGTGCACTGCGGGGTGGAGGGGCTGCCTCCTTAGGTACAGTTGTGAATCCTACCCTTGCCCCTGGTGTGGTGAATCGGTCCTAGTCAACTTCATTCGCATGTTCATTGAAATATCAAGGTTCGCATGTAGGCTCATTGAAACGCTGCGCCGTAACCTCAGAACTTTCCTGAATGCCTGCTTTATCTAAAGCTCCTTTAAAGGTATCACTGTCGGGTATTTTGCTACTTTCGGATATCTTAGCGATGACCGTTATGGAGGCGTGCCCGGAAAATATGGCTCACAGTCAATCGCGCATAAGCCTCGCCAAAAATAACCTTTCGGCGTTCGCCAGACGACTCCGCTGCTGCCACACCTCTTCCGCACGTAGACGTAAGGCCATAACATCCTGGCGTGGCGATTTCCTCAACACTTGATATGTTTGGTTTGACACGTGTGAATTGGCCGTCCCGCTGGTGCGGTAGTTCTTGCGCCTGCCGGGGGGCGGCGCCACCGGCTAACACTGAGTGGGACGTACGATGTTTTAGCTCCATTCTTTCCATTCAAAGCCATAGGC